CCTTGTGCTACTTTAAATGCTTCCTACATGAAGCCACTGGAGAGGCTGAGCAATGCAAGTAGAAAAATCATTAAGATTGAACAGAACAGAGCAAGCTGGAAAAACGTGTTCAGTGCTCTCCTGTCTGGTACAAGCAATGCTTGACAAGGTCAGGGTCTCACTGTACCACTCAGGGTAGCTAATTTTGCATCATCAGAACATTTGTAGCCAGAAATAGAAGAGTAACAGCAGAAGGAATAACAAAATCAGAAGACAGAGCTGTGGGGTCACCTTTGGCTGTTAATTCTCTTCACTCCTGTTTGTTGGACCCATCCTCTCCTCTCTGACTGTGCTCAGTTCCCGGTACCTCCCCTCAGTTGCCATATACCACCAGGAACCTGGGCTGTAGCCATTTCTGTTCCTGACAGGAACAAAGAACTACTGGAAGCTCTCTTCCTCTCATAAGGACTCCTCAAATGCAAAGAACCAGCAGCACAAAACACAACTCGCTTACCAATCCCAGTGGAGGCAGGATGGGCTGTTACCCAGAGAAGAGTGTGCCCACCCTGCAGGCAGCATTAACACTGTGCCCAGCCCAGCCCAGGCTGGGCCTGCTCTGGGGCATCTGCACCTCTGTTTTACATCCATCACCTTGATGCAAAGTAGTTTCTTTCACAGACGTTCTGCAACAATAAACTTTGTTTTATCTCTGCTGTGAGGACGCATTGTTCGGCATCATTTTATCTTTTCTTCTAAGACTACTAATAATGATATTAGAGTACATTTCAGTCAGCAGCATTAGGTCTATACTGAAATGCCACCTCATTTCAATATGCAGAGCAATCTCCCCTGCATTGTTCTGTTGGGGCACACAGTAATTGATAGGCCCTAATTACACCATTCCTTTGGGGAGCGTAGGGCCACTGTTTGTTTTAATCAAACATCCTGCTGCCAAAAGCTATCAATAGATGTGACTCATTTCCTCTCCTACCCTGGCCAAAGATCGTGGCCCCAGAGTTCAGCCACCTCTGCAAGCTCTGGATCCCTCAGGTGGACACAGGACAAGTGCCCATCCCTGAAGCTGCTGGAGAGATGGGATGGCCTGGCAAGCACAGGCTCTGTGGCACGGCCTCCCCAGGGTCCTGCAAGAGGTCCTTCTACACAATCCAATTTACACAGACTTCTCCAGGACAACTTCCCCAGCTTGGCAACCCACAGACAGGCTTTTTTTGCAGATTTATACATTCATCTAATCGTTCTTTCCTCAGTTCTCTGAGGAAACTCAGAGTTGCCCACAGCAATCACTGGCTAGACTGAAAAACTAGAAGCATTTTTGCCCATGAGGCCCCCTCATATGTTCAGTCTTTCACCACAGTCACCGTGGCTGACTGAAAAGCCAAGCCCCAGGAGCAGAAGTTCCCTTCCCAAAAAGCCCCCTCAGAGGAAGCACTTGGAAGCAGCATGTGCTGTGTCCAGCAGTGCCTCTCCAGAGCCAGCCTGAGAAATGGGAGCAGCTCAGAAAAAGTGGTGCAATCAATAGAATTCAATACTGCAGACACTATGCTGCCTAATCCCCAGTCTACAGGTCTGTCCTGTCAGGCTTTTTAGGTCACAGCTATTTGCTTCTCATGGTATTATTTCTGACCCTCACCTGAAAAGCAGCACAGTTACAGGAATTGCATCTGCCCCTCCCGTACCTCAGCGTATCGCAACACGAATTGTACTGGAGACAACCTGAGGGGATTTCTGGAAAGGAAAACACAATACTTGATTTGCAGTAACATTTCTTTTCCAGAATGGAAGAGGCATGGTCAAAATAGCTGGGTTTGAAAAGGCCAGCACAAGTAGTACTTCCAGAGCAGCTGAAACAAATAATATTTGCTTAGCAAAATGTGAGTCCGGGATCTTGGCACAAAGACCTTATTTTCCTCAAACTGTCTGGGGTTTTTTTTAAATTTAAATTAAGATGTGATCTTCCAACCTGTGAGCACCACTGAACGCAGCTGATCGCTGCCCCAAAACAGGAGTTTGGCTTGAGAGAGTCATTTACGCTCCCACATTTTCATGGTATTTTAGAAGTTGAGAAAACTTCTGCAGATGGTATTTCTTAACTCTGAGGAGCTGTTTGCTAATGCCAGGGGGTGGATTTTCTTCTTGCTGTTGACTCTAATCTGAAAGCATTGAGGCATCATGAGTTTTTCCAGGCTGGAGTATCCAGTTGCTGTTGTGTTTGCTTATGCAGGTGTTTTACGTAATTGCCCCAGCGAGGCTGACGCTCACGGGAGCAGCTGCAGCACAGGCAGCACTGCAGGAGTTCCCCACTTACAGCTCAGCTCACCTCTCAGAGCTCAGCAAAACAAGCCCTGTGCCCTCCAACAGGCAACCAAATGGAAGTGTTCAAACTGCATTATGGCTTTGCACTGTTAATGAGAATGACACCTGATAAGCAGCAACCCAAAGCTCAAACGGGATCAAATAACCCAACGTGTAAAAAGACACACTAAAGTGGGGTGGGACCCCACCAAAACTGTTTTTCATCTAGTAGTACAGACAGACCTAGTCCTGAGTCTGACTAATGTACTAAACAGGTACTTCATTCAAAGTTCTTACGTGAAAGAAGAAAATTATCAAGAAAAACCTGAATTTAAATTATTCAACAGAGAAACATAGTCAAAGTCTATCAGTCCTTCCCAGGCTTAAACTCTGCCTTTGAATTGGGTCTGCAAGTCTTCTACTGCTTTGCTTTCTGTCACCCTCTAACTTGCAGGCCTGTCATCAAACCTCTCAGAAATAAGTCATTGCTTAAAGAGCCTTAAAACCAGCTCAGTTTCCTTTCAACCAACCTAAGATATAGCCTTCACCTCTTTAAGTGCCTGATAGATAAGCCCAGCTGGAAACTTACTTTCCTATGACAGGAAGGGAGGACTTTCTTTGAGGACTTACCTCCTTCCCTGCCTGCTGCAGGATGAGGCTTCAGAAGCACATTTCTCTGATGGCAGTGACTCCAGCACGGCCACTGCCCTGCAGAAGAGAAGGCTCAGAGGAGGTCTCATTGACATGTATGAATATGTGCTGGGAGGGAGTGAAGAGGCCAGGCTCTACTCTGCAGTGTCCAGTGACAGGACAAGAGGCATCGAGAACAAATTAATTCCATTTACAACATCCAGAGGCCCCTTCCCAGCTGAACGTTCCCTCACCCTGTGCCCCTGCAGTGCACTGGCACGGCACACAGCGCAGGGCAGAGAGACACCCACCACACTGTGACTGCTTGTGATCCTCTGATGCATGTCCCTGTTCCCTTCTGGATCATCTCAGCCCCCCCTCCCTTCTCTGTGGAGACCCTAAACCCCAAAACTAAAAATGTGCTGGTGGATGAGGGACAAGCCTGAAGAGGGAGCCTCTGCCTTCCTTTGGCAGACCCCATGCAACGACCAGCTGAATGGGCTTCATTTGGTGCAGCATTACTGATTCTCCCTTGAAGTCACGCTTTTTAATTTCACTTCCCCCACTTCCTGTAGTTTATCCCTTACAGTCAGTTTGCCTGGACTCAGAAATACAGGTGACAGTGGAGCATCTCCATCTGCTCAGTGTGCCAGCACCAGGATTCTGTTTTTAGAAGCACCTCACATGAGCTGGATCAAGGATTAGCAGTGGCATTTCTGAGCACTCACAGTCACAGTTAACACTCTTTGGGCTTTTTCTGCTATCAGAGTGAAAATATCCTTCCTGAGGTTCTTTGGTCTGAAGCAGAATCAAGTGATCCCTTGGGCAAGGAACACCAGAATCTCCCCATGATGGCAGGCAATTAGACTCTTACCAGAGTAGGCCAGGGGGAGATTCTGCTAGAATCCTTGGGAAAGAGCTCTCAAGCTGTATGTTTGGGCACAAGCAAGGGTTTTTTTCTACAGCCTCACAGGGAGCACAAAAGAAAGCCTTTCTTTTCTGTGCCCTGTGCCTGTGTGGATTGCTCCTCCATTAAGGCTTATCTACCTCCACATAATGAACCTGCAACTTAATCGAGGGAGGCAGCAACAGGCCTGGGCTTTCAAGACAGAGTTTCTGTCTCCTCTCATTTTTTCTACTGGTTTATCTGTTTTACCCTGCCTTCAGTCCACCTCAAGAGGGACAAAAAAAATATTTTAAAAAAAAAAGAGGAAAAAGAAAAGGAAGGTGGTCTCTCCTTTGTGCTTCTGCTGGTGCTGTGCCAACTGTATGACAATGACTTAGGCAAGGTAGGCATCAAGTCATCAGCTGCAGCAGGAATTCAGTGCAGAGATCCCAAAGTGTCCTTTGCCCTTGCCTACTGATATCTTATCTGCTCCAGCTTCAGAAAGGATTCAATAGCTGAATTGCTGAGGGTTATAGCTCTAGGGTACATTCCTGACCAAAATTACCTGGCAACTTCATTCTGAGGGCTGGGAAATCAACCATGGAAAGCCAAGGTAAATGAAGATGTCAAGCTGCTGTAGCAATCACCTGACAGGAGCCTGTTCAGTGTTGATAGTGTAGGTCTGTATAAAGAAAGAGCCCTGCCTGCAGTGGCTTCTAACTGCTGCTCAGAAGCTGAGCTTGTTATCCTCAACACAAACTTACATAGGTTTGGGAATCCAAATCCTCCACCCCTGCTGTAGAAGAGCTGATTCCCAAACTCTCTCTCCCCCTCCACAAATACAGGGCTCATTACAACATTAGTTTGTGTAAATGTGAGTGCTGACAGAAGGTCCATTGAACAGATGTTGTGTGCACACACTTCATACCTGCTTAGGGACCAGGATGGGTGAAAAACACTTCCACAGCCTGAAAGCCATAAACAAGAACAGCCTTGGCTTGATAACTGCCTAATCCTTGATCCTAAAGGCCCTGCCCTCCTGTCCTACTCTCCAGGCAGGTCTGCTCCACAGCCACCTTTCAATGCCAAATACCTGACAGAGTTTGAAGTGTTTAAGCAGTGAAACAAGGCACAAGAGCATGATGGTAACACCAAGCAAGGCAGTGCTTTTTACTTAGGAAAAAACCCAACGTAAACTCAACCCAAAACTTTATTTAGTAGAAAAGTTTCAGAAGACAATTTCTGTTTCAATATTTGAAGCCTTACACTGACAACATACTCATCAAAGGCAGCTGCCGTTCTCCCAAGGTGTAGTCCCGTCTCATACTGCACCCTTTATTCGTGGCTTTCATCCTCACAGAGAGGCTGTGCAGCTCTTCCTCTGCAATGCCATCAAAAAAGAAGTCCTCGTTGAAGATGGGATTTCTGCTCCTCTTTATAACAGTGCTTCTCTGCTTCTGTGTTTTCCCTGGCACCAGGGAGAAGGAGATGCAGCAGTTGATGTGTTTGGGCTCCACGGAGTCCTCGTACAGGCCCTCGGCGCTGATGAGGCGGATGCGCAGCCGCTCGTTCTCGGAGCAGTACTCGGCCGACAGCCTCAGCAGCCCCCCCTTGTCCATCACCACCGTGCTCTCTCCCACCAGCCTCTCCCGACTGCGGGGCAGGTCCAGAGGAAAGAGGGGAGAGCAGGACGTGCTGAAGGTCCGCGTGGCCAGCAGCCCCTCCGAGGCCCTCCTGATGGCGCTGGGGCTGTTATCGGTGGAGCTGCTCTCCTCCGTAGAGAGGGAATTGTTCCTGGCCACGCTGGATTTGCTCTTGGCTTTCAGTGCTCGGCAGAGCAACCCCTCCTGACTCTGTGCTTTGGTCAGGGAGCAGGGTCTGGGAGGGGACCTGCTCAGAAGAGGAGAGCTGAAAGGAGAGGATTCGCTGGAGGAGGCAGTGTCGCTGTCACAGGCACCCTGCCTGTGCAGAGAGAGCTGCTTGGGAGGCAGCCTCACCGAGGAAAAGCTGATGGCAATGGGATTAGAGGTACTGCCCTTGCCACTGAAGGTGTTGGCTCTGGACCGAGGCAGCACCAGGCTGGGCAGGGCACCGCGGGGGTCACCGTGGAAGATGGACTCCTTCCTCCTGGTGTGGGGGCTCTCCAGCAAAGTGTAGAAGCCATAGGAAGTGGGGGCTCTGGGAAAGTGGGGCAGGGAAAGCGCTGCTTGGGACTGGGGGTCCGAGTTGGTGCTTTCGTCCTCTAGGGCTGTCATTTCCTCTTCAACACTTTCCACCTGGATGAGGTGTGGCAAAGAGCCGGGGCTATTGGCAGAGGTAAAAGCTGCATCCACTGAACTGTGATTCTGGTGGGAGCCACTGCCCTTAATGGAGCCAGAGCCGGTCAGCCTGGGGGGAATGCAGAATTCAGGGATTTTATCGGGGGTGAGCACGTTTGGAAAAGCAGCAGCCCCCAGTCGGGGTTTTTCTGCCAGGTTTTGACCATGTGGCAGTCCCAGGAAGGGAGAGCTAGGGAGACTTCCACCTTCATGTGATGCTCTGATCTTTTCCAGGAACCACATTGCTGTAGCTGAGCAGGAGGTCCTCAAAGGGGAAAAGCCCGACGGACAAATCCACCTGCAGACACACAGAGGCGAAAAAGTACGTGAACATTCTTGTTGGACAGACTCCAGGGCACGGACAGCCGAGGAAGGCACCGAGGGCGCCATTCGAGGCAGGACTGGCACAAGCCTATTCAACCCACGGGTTCCAAGCAGCCCCTGCCCAGCGCACCACTCCTGGCCAAGTCAAACGGCACAAGGACAGAACTAAACCGCTAAAGAGAGAAAACAGCACCGACTCTCTACCGGGGCAAACGCCCCTCCCCTGCAATGCCCCCCGCGCCTCTCCCCGAGCAGAACACGTACCTTGTGCAGTGCGAGCCCCCCGCTCTGGGCACCACCCCCGACTCGCCGGGCTCAGACACCTCCGGCAGCCGCCGACACCTCCCGACCGCCCGCCCCGAGCCGGCCCTTTTCTACAGGCACCGGGCACCTCCCACCCGGCGGAGGGAGGGACAGGGAACGGAGGGGGCTGCCCGAGGGAGGGCAGGAGAGAAGGGGGTGCCGGGCCAGCGGCCGCGCCTGCTGCTCTCACGCGGGGAGAGGAGGAGGAAGGAGGAGGAAGAAGAGGGAAAGCACCGCTGCTGCCCCGCTGGACACCGCGTGGGCGCCGGAGTCGTGCCCAGGGCAGGGGGGAGGGACTCGGACAAGGGCCTGTCTCGGGAAAGTGCCTTTAGGGCCGCCCCACGGCCCCGGGAGCCGCCTGCGGGAGAGGAAGGGGCTGCCCGGGCAGCACATCACCCCCTGCTCCCTCTCTGATTAATGGCTATTTACAGAGGCGTCCCGAGATCAACTAACAAACCCGGGACAAAAGCAGCGTTGTTTGGTGCTTCTGTTCCTCTGGAGCTGCTGGCGGCTCTCCAGCACTGGAGCGGTAGGAAGCGGGGATTGCGGTTTTCAGGCTCCTTTGTAAAGAACTTCGCTGCCTTTCTGCATGTGAATGTGTGTCGCCCCCTCCTCATTACCCACTAAGAACACGAGACAACGGAGCCTTGACCCCGTGTCCTTATGAGCGGTACTGAGCCACGGCAAACCCAGCAATGAAGATGCAGGGGAAACACGGCCGAAAATGCTTTGGCGTGTCACAAACACAGACTCGTGTGACACTGAACGGGCACCGCACAGAGCCAGGGGGATCCAGCAACTTTCTCGGCGCAGTTCTGCAATGCAGCACCGCCTGGACGGACCTCTGCAAACTCTGTAATTATCCTGCGAGCTGCAAATAGCAACCTGAACTGCAAAGCCAGGAAGGCCTGACTAACTGGTTGGCCGAGCGCTCAGCTGAAGGTTGTAACACAGGGATAACAGGCAAATAATATTCTGCTTTCCTTTTGCAGGTGAAGAGCTAAAGTTCATGTTTACTGAGTGCTCAAAATAGATGAGATGTGCTCAGAGAAAACAAATCCGGGGGGTTACAGGAGCAGGGAACATTTTGAACCCACTGAAAGGTTTAGCAGGGAACACACATGTTCTGGGTTTGAGCTCTGCCTCTCTCCTGCTTGTTTTACACCAGTTAAGCTTCACTTGCACAATAATCCTCTAGTGATTAAAATCAGAGGAAATTCTTTCTGCCATGATTTGTAGAAGGGTTCAGGACACCCCAGGGGTCCCAGTAACGCTGCAGTTGCTGGTGCTCTTGTAGTTTACTTAAATGGACTTGCTTGATGTGAGCATGGTTCAAATAATCTCTAAACTAATTTAGAGGCTTCTGGAGAGGGTTTATGCTTTCTCCAGCTAATGAGACTTTTCAGCAGCATGGTAAGAGGAGTTATTGGAGACCCTGGGATGCTCTCCTTTGGGAAGCACCACAGAGCTGTTGTCCATTCAGACCAGGCAATAGAGCACTATACATCCTGCAGCTTCCAAAGAGAAAGTGAGCTTGTTCCAATTTAAACACCTCTGCTTTGAATACCAAAGAAATATTTGACTCTAAACATGGAGAAAAATTAAGGAAATTGACCTTTTTAGTGGGAACTTCATTGCCTCCAGTTAACAGATGACAGAAGTAGTTCAGATACAGCAATCATGGCAACTAGGCTCAGGTATGCTGAGTGCCCAGCTGGCATCGGGCAGTGGTGAAACACTCTGTCAGAGGTACTTGATTTCTTTTTAGTCTCTTTAGGCTTCCAAGGAAAAGAGCGAGGGCTCTTCCAGCGGGCGATCAGTCTCCTGCTCGCAGTTGCCTGTCTCCCTCCAGTGCCTGCAGAGCGAGCAGGTTCCTTACACGGGGTGGTGTGTCCTGCCCTGCCTGAGCCGGCCCTTCCCAGCCTTTAACAGATCGCTGAGTGCCGGGAGTGCAGCAACACTTAAGCACTTGATACATCCCCCCTGGAAACAGGCACTCAGATCTGCGAGTGTAGCTTCCTGTGTTCAAAGCTGTTTCTCTTTCCTTGATTAGCTTCAGAGCATAATTAAAATGTGCTGCCAACAAGGCTTCCTGTTGCTATAAAAAATGTGTCTGCAATAATCCACTTTTAAACCGGAAAAGATATAATTTGTGGCAAGGCTTTATTACCACCCCAGTACCAATAACTGGTGAGAGCCTGGGATCTCGCCAGGGGCTGGAAAACCTGACACTGAATGGAATCTCCTCCCAGAGCAACACAGAACAAAGTCAGGAGTTTTCCTTGGCGTGTTACACTGATATTATTTCTCTCCTGCCTTCACTGGGCACAGTGGCCCCACTCAGGAAAGGTCCCAAATCTGTTTGAAACTCGTTGGTTCGAGGGCCTGGAAGTGCCAGGAGAACGCTTCCAATGGTTTGTAGAGGGTAGAGAGGCAGGAGGGCTTTAAGAGCTGGCAGCCTTTTGGTGATGAGCACCAGGGGAGGTGAAACCCTCCCTATCCAGCCAAGATGAGTGAAGAGATAAAGAAAAACTTCCTGCCCTGCTGTGAAAGGAGGAGGCATCAAAGACAGGCATGGATGAGGCAGCACAGAAGAGTTTAAAGCAACAGCCATGGCTCAGTGCATCATATTACCTAAAATATGCAACATTTCCACAGGCCTCTGTGAGAACAAATAACCTGGTTCAGTTTTATTTTCCTAAAGAAAGCAGTAATTCAGCTGCAGCTTCTTGAAAGAAAACCTCAATCAACTGAGAGGCACTGACTTTTTTCATTCCAGACTGATATAATTGCAAATGTACAGCACATTGGTGCCTTCCTGTCACTGTGACAAATGTCAAAGGTATCTCTTAGGAGTCTGCTCTCCACTTCTGGCCTGAATCAAGTCATTCTGCATTTCTTCTTTAGTAATACAAAATGGTAACAGAGGTTCAGCAAAACTCATCTGACAACCTGATCTTTCTCCTCTTATTTAGTACATTATAGTAGCTTATATTTTACCTCACCAGCAAAGGCAGGTTTCTGCACAGCTTTGCAAGTGTCCCTGCTCCTTTAAACGAACACATGAAAGAACAAGCGCCCAAGAGCTGCTTGGCAGAAGGGCACAGGAGCTGTGGGGCCCTTCAGGCACTTGGGCACTTCAGGCAAAGTGTCTCAAGTACCTCATGTTACAGCAGTGTGAACTGTACAAATGTAAAGCTATGAACTAAAGAGCTCATTCCTGCCAGCACATTATACATGGTCCTGTGGTGAGAAGCTGAGAATTGCCACGCAAAATCCAAGAAAGGTTTGCTGTCCCTGCTTCCACTGCTGCTGAAGTCAGCAAAACAGTCTCCTGGGCTGAAGTCTAGGTCTACACCTGAATCTAACGACATCTGGCTTTAAATGCCTTTCCATGTTTTATGGAAATACACCCAGTTCCAGGCAGTACCTACTTCATGTCTACTCAAATCTGAAAACCTTCGCTATTGTCTGCATGATGTTATATTTCTTTTCCCTGATGCTTTCATGTAACAGGGTAGGAAAGAATGGAACTGGAAAAATATTTTAAAGGCTATCAGGATCATGAATCACATCACAGAACAGATAATTAATTATCCACATTTCCTATGACTGGGGCAAAACAAGCTCCACTGCTCTGTTCAGGCAATTTCCTGAAAAGGCAAAGTTCTACACATGGACAACCAGGATAAAAACTCAACAGCAGAGGGGATCTCCTGGCACCATCAGAGGGTTTAGCACACGGCCTGGACAGTTTAGGAAAGCTGGTAAAAGGATCCTAAAGAAGGTTGGAACTGGCTTGAGAAAGGAAAACAGAAGAAACGGAGATTATTTAATTGAAAAAAAAATATGAGGGGCAGAAAGACTCTGCTTGTTCTGCTTGCTTCTGAAAAAAGGGGGATGTTGAGCTGCCTTGCACAGCTCCAGCTCGGAAGGCACGAGTGACTCAGGGCTTGGCAAACTTCTGCCCCAGCAGGGACTTACAGGGGTGGTTAAACCTCAAAGGGGAAAAGGACTGAGGTGCTCAAAAGGACACTGCTGGTGGCCCTGGATGTGCAAGGCCACTGCTCTGAAGGGTGACAGGAAAGCATCTGATCTTCCTCCACTGAACTAATATTATCCTGCAGTTCAAGGGTGTCTGCCCAGGAAGGTAATTTGACAGTTTCTTGCTGGACATCTGCTCGCTCTGACAGGCCAGCCACGAGATCACAGCCAGGTTATGCAGGTGCAGACACAAGGAATAGAAGTTGCATTTCCTCTGAACAAAGATTTACATTCCATAGCATGCTCTGCAAGTGCCTTTATTTCCATTCTTGAAGCCCTGGCAGTGGCAGAGTGTGCAGGCTGGGTGGGAGCAAACCTTGCAGCTGGACAGAAAGAACACATGTCCAAGGGACTGGGTATAAACTGCCTTGTTAGTGGATGTTTCACTAAAATTTTACAGGCCTGACCCTGGTGGAAGCCTAAAAATTCCTGTGCCTTTTCCCAGGAATTGCAGCTCTGTATTGCAGACTCTGTGTTTCTTTCAAGATTCTGGGATATGGTGAAAGCAGACCCAGAACTGCCCCCAGAGTGTGGTGTTCAGGTCACTCTTCTGGTGTGGAAGATTTACTTGTTATTTGGGCAAACAGCCCCATTTTAGGACAGGCCTCTCCCATTAGGCCCCACAAATACTTCTGAGGATTTTCTGAAGAAAAGTCCAGCAAACTGCTCATGTCTTTCCACAGGGATGTGCTGTGTTAGGGCAGTAATGAGCATCTCATGGCTTTGCAGAGTTACTGTGCTGTGGCTTGTAGTAGGGTTAATGAAATACGAAATTATCACTGATATTTCCCTCAGGGTAAAACTAAAAATAAAATCAGGCAGTACAACCTAATAACTTATAGACCAGAATATTTCAGCTGGAAGGGATCACCCAGTCCAACTGCCAGACCAATTTAGGGCTGCCCAGAAGTTAAACACGTGTTTTTAAGGGTCTTGTCCAAATGCCTCTTGAAACACTGACAGGTTTCTGGTGCTGGCCACCTCTCTAGGAAGTCTCTTCCAGTGTCTGACCACCCTCCTGGTAAAGAAATGCTTCCCAATGTCCAGTCTGAACCCCTCCTACACAGCTTTGAGCCATTCCCACACCCTGTCACTGGACACTCCCCTTCCCCTCCTCAGGAAGCTGCAGAGAACATCCAGGTCACCCCTCAGCCTCCTTTTCTTGGAGCTCAACAAACACAGTGTCCTCAGCTGCTCACCTGCATTCATTGCAGATTCCCTGCTCAGAAACAAAGGCACAAATCAAC